GATCTTTATTTGTCTTGTTAATTCTTGCAGATGAGTTTAGAAAGCAAGAATTTTTGCATTATAAATGGATCTATAGTGGAGAATTCAAGATATATACAGTAATATAAGTCTTATGACATTGTGTATAACTAGAGGATATGATCAGTGTCAAAACTGCTGCTCCCATATACTTAATTATTATAATTAAATATCTGAGAATACAGTTTCAATAAAGAAGGCAGCTCTTGTATTTCTGATAGGCGATATATGGTTCATGTGGTGACGAGGTTTGGCCAGCTCTGATGTGATTGCTTTTCTTTCAAATAATCAAGTAATTGCTTGTTTTATTCTTTGTAATATCAATTTTAAACATTGAAAAAAGATGATGTAACAAATGAATATACCCTCCACAACATTTGATTGCAGCACTGGTTATAAAATTTCTACTTCAAGAAAAACAGCTTGAATTGGATTTAAATTTGAACAGCTTCCCTTTAACAAGTATACAGTTCCTCACTTTTTTGCATCTGTCCTTAGTTTTTTTTCCCTCAAGAATGAATTTCTCCAAGCAGTTCTGTGATAAATGGTGTAACTAAATTTTATATTAGTTTGTTTAAACCAGCAATTAACAAATTACAGTGGTAAATTTACTTTAAATTTGTCAAACTAAATTTTTAGTTTACATTTTTTAAAGCAAACCTTCATTAAATACAATAATAAAGACAGTCATTCCTAAATTACTTAAGTTTGCCAAACAATTTATCTAATTGCATTACTTTTTTTACTTCTACAATCAAATTTGATGCACTGCTTTTTTTATAGCACAGATTGGTCTCCTTAGTGATGCAAAGGTCAATAAACTAATAGGTTTGTTGGCAGACCTGTTACGTAATAATATAAATCACATGCGGAGCATGACGTATATAATTTAGAACTTCGACCCGTTGATTTATCACAGGACGGATGTGACATTATTTACTTTATGCAGACTTGTTTTCTACGATGTGACGGTGATGCAAAAATTTAGATCAAACAGATGCAAGTTAACAGGAATTAAATTATACCTCTAACTGGCCATTATATCTGCAAATGCTTTAATGTTTAATAGTGGATGATGTCTTGATAATAACAATACGACTCTTGATACTGTGCTGCCGTTTAACTGATATTCCATTGAAAGACGTGATACAAGATATTATACTTTAGTTGTTATTTACAGGGTTAATTAAGGACAAAGAAATATTCAAGGGTCTTGAATGAATATTTAATACTATTTTAAGCTGTAATTTGATATTTTAATGCCTTTGAAATTATTAATTTTCTTTATAAACATATTATAGATCATGACACATTTTTCTTATTCAAAGATGTCACAAAATATCACGTAGAAGTTTAAGTATAGCTTCAGTATCATAAATTATCTGGATACAATTGCTATTGTCATCAGTAACGAGATCTATAGGCATTGATAACAATAATAGTATATAATTATAGAGTTATCGTCATAATCTGTGATTATCATCATAATGCAATAGCAATAAATTCAGAATTATTAGTTTTACAATACTAGAAGAATTATTTTAAAATTAGGTGAGTTTTCTTTTTATATTTTAACATAGTAAAGAACAACAGATTTCTAGTGTTATATGAGTTGTTAAAATCATTTTATATTTAGATTTTTGGTTTTAGTATGAGTAAGACACTGATGAAACAAGGTCTTTTCTGCTTGTTAGTCAAACAATGGTACTCTCTTTATCCGGTCAGTTCAACCTGCTTTTTGATCCCCTGCTGGTTACCCTCACATGTCCCCAGGCAAAAATAATTGAAATTCTCTGAGCAGAATTGACAGTTTTAGATATTGATAGGATGTGTTAAGGGAGGCAAATTGATTCACATTCTTTGTATACAGGGTGTTCTCCTTGAAACTCTAGTTTTAAACTGTTCTGTAAAATTCATTTGTTCGGGTATGTGAATGAAACGTGTTGTACACAAAGTATTATTCTTCATGTGTTTGAATGGGATGACACCGTCGTACTGTCTAGATCACTATTCAATGTAGCCCTATTTCTCAGCCAGCTTGATAAGCCAAAAATCATCCTCTTTGAACTATTTTGTAGACACATCAAGGATTGCTTGTATGCTACCAAAGTACTAGGCATGAGAGCCCATGTAAAGAATCATGGATATCATTTACAGCGTGATTCCTAACATGCTGGTTCAGATGAAATCGAGTACAAGCTGGATATCATATGTGTCTTGTCAGAGCATGTTCAGAATGATTTAATGCAGTAAGTAATAGAGATAATATCTTGAATATTAAAACAGAAATTTTGGAACTTGAAGGAATCACTTTGTCAGCTTGTTCAACTTAAGCTAAATAAATGTGTTTTTATTGATTTTAAAGTAGGTTTTCCCCATATTGGATTTTGCCATAAAATAAAAATTGCAATTTTATAATAAAGAATTATTTGAAATTTTAACACAAAATTCCTTTAAAGTGTAATTTTAAATAACAGGAAAAAATTATTGAGAACTTAAGAATTTTCATATAATATAATCACCCCACGACATTAATACTGTCACTTTCAGAGTGGGTTAAGCACTTTCCTGATTTGGCTTTAAGGCTACGTACTCTTCCTTTGGCCAATTTTCTTCTTAAATTGGACTCTGGACTGACCAGTCAAGGGTTTCCTGGCAAAGTTAAATGGCAGCATCCAGCAATTCTGTTCATTTCTAACCAGACTATACTCTCTGAACTCATTGCTTAACTTGGGTAATTTGATGAGTAGTAGTGTGATCAATAAAGACTAGTCATTGATCTCTTTTTATCTAATTACACTTAATATTGTTTGTATTAATGTAAAAATGTAAAAATATATATTTTAATTATAATTAGTTCATGTAAAAAAATTATTAAGTGTAATAATTTGCAAAATATACTTAATTTTTTATTCCACTCAATAAAGGAATTGTTTGAATGATGTGATTTATTAAAATTTTACATTTATAGATCTAAATGTTATTTCTTAATATAAAACATGATTTTATCAATAATGAAAATTGAGAACAGTGAAGAAAATTGATTCCAACCTTCACAACTTTCAAACAAAGGATAGGTCAGAATCTTCTAAACTTAATTTTTTTTTGAATTTAAAGTTAGTAATGCTAGATATTTTTATAGTATTCAGTAGTAGTACAGGTATACCTCGACTTACGTCGTTTTCCTGGAACCAATTACCGACATAAGGCGAAGTATACCTGTAGTAGACATTATAAATGTCTATGGTGTTGTTTTCTAACCTTTCATTGTTGAGATTGTGGAGCAGTTAAGGTGGCAACCTACCACTCTGTGGACCTGGATCAAATCCAAACTGGCAAAAAACCACAAATTTTTCGGGGTGCTGTCCGGATATTTCGGGCCCCTCCCTCACCACCTGTCTGGACCCATAACAGGCTTGCTAAAATAAGGCCACCTTGGTGTTCAGAGGGCTGAAAGGGTTTTTAAAAAAATGTTATTGTTGACAAAACCCCTTTTACTATGATGGAAGAATATCATTTAGCAAAACGATCCATATGCCGTTAGTCAAGAAATGCTACATTAGATTATACAGTAGTTTAACATTCTGTTACTTCCGCATTCATACCATTAGAATAACAGATTTTAGCACTAGGCGATCGTGACATGACTCGGAAATCATGACTTTTAGTTCCCTAGAGGTTAGTATTCCAAATTGGTTTTGTGCAAAGTTAAAGTAATGCAATTTGAAAGCTTTAATGTTAATAAGCTGTTTTTAGGGTGTGGAAATTAAAATATTAAATATATAAAAACTGCAGTAACAACTTTTAATCTCCATAAGATGATAATGGAATGGTAGATGCAAAGAAGTGTGTGTCTACCATTTTAAATGTTTATTTACGCTTCCAGCATCTAGTGGGTGAGGGAGTGAATGAACGAATATGAAACTGGAAACCAGCATCAATGTAATTATATACAAGGTGAGCAAAGAGACTGCATGTTACTTTACAGTTTTGAAAATGTTATAGTAGAGAGCACATGTATGTCATGCATATGCACAATCTGCCAAGCTGTTTTGATAGCAGAGTGCTGGCTTGGCGTATATTCATTCACTGCTGGAATCACTGTATAAGCGACTTCATTAGAAATACATAAATCGAGTAATGAGTAATTTGCTCACTAGTTGCCAGATGTATAAATAAGTCTAAAGGTTTGGGGTTGGACTCTCAATTGAATTGTTAGAAATTCCTATGAATAAGTTAGTTTGACTTGTCCACAACTAGAGGATAAACTCAGGGTGGGACGAAAAGATCTTTTTGTAATCTAGAGTAGAAGGAATTTTTAAAACTTTATGGAAAATGGAGAGATGTTGATTTATATAGCAAGCTTGTTTGGCTCTAGTCTTTCATTCTTCTGTTGTTTAGATTTACTGGTAAAAATGACAGAGAAGAATGATTTCTAATCTGAGGATGCCATTTGAAACACAAAAGCTTATTATTTGGATCGCTTTTTGTCTATTGACTTATTTCCTATGTTTTGTGGCTGTCCAGTTTGGTAAGTCTGTCTATAGGAAAAGTGTGCTGACAGGAAACAAAAGCTTATGTTTATCAACAATATTCGGATTAACTACTGGGTTATTTAATGCTATATTAATAACTTTAATTAAGAATACAACTGGGCCTAAAATTAAATTAAATGGTGATAAATCTGTTTAATGTGAACACCAATTTTATATATGAATTGATTCAAATATTGATCAGAAGTGAACCTAGATGCTCCTGCATACCACATGCAGTAGTTTGGGATCTTATACATTAATGTCTGTACAAGGCAGTAATTAGTTAAAATCAGCATTAATATAATTTGAAATAAACCATTAAAAATATTAGTTAAACATTTTGTTGAATTATTACTTTTTTTAATTTCTTCCCACTCCAGCCATATAGTGGCAAAGTATGTCCATACGTGTTAAACTTCTAATACTAATTGAGTTTTATTCGAACAGGTTGAATTTGTCTGGTGACAGCATGTCTGGTGATCGAGCTCAGGCTGGTCCTTCCGGAGGCGGTGCTAGTGGCGGAAGAGGTAGAGGTGCCGGATCGTCCAATCAGGATCGGGAAAAGGAACACAGAGAATCCAGGTTAAATCCGAAAATGTCGAAGGCACTCAGCACCAGTGCAAAGAGGTATAGCTCCCATTCAATTATTTGTCATCAGCATCACGTTTCTTTAATATTAGAGCTTTTGGTGATTGAAGTTAATTAGAAAAACAAGTGTAAATGAGATGTGTAAATTTTTGTAACCATTTTAAAAATTTCTCTAAATTTAAGTTTTGATTAATTCCAGGATCCAAAAAGAATTGGCAGAAATAACACTGGACCCTCCCCCTAACTGCAGGTTAGATTATTTATTTATTTAAATTTCAATAAATAACGTACAAACACTCTTTATAAGAAATTAATTTTTTTTAGTGCCGGACCAAAAGGAGATAACCTTTATGAGTGGGTGTCCACCATACTGGGACCACCCGGTTCGGTCTACGAAGGTGGAGTATTTTTCCTGGACATTCATTTTTCTCCAGAATATCCTTTTAAACCCCCAAAAGTAAGTGGTTTTGACAAAAGTTTATTATTTTAAATTTGGAGATAAAAAAATGTTTGTTTCCATGCTCTTTCAGGTGACCTTTCGGACGAGAATTTATCATTGTAATATTAATAGTCAAGGTGTCATTTGTTTAGATATACTAAAAGATAATTGGAGTCCCGCTCTAACTATTTCAAAAGTACTCCTGTCTATTTGCTCGCTACTCACAGACTGCAATCCAGGTGAGTTTTCTAGTATGATGTTTTTTTGTCTTTCCAAAATTTTTCCATACTGACAATGTTTTCTTTCCCTTTAGCCGATCCCCTGGTCGGAAGCATTGCAACACAGTATCTACAACATAGAGAAGAACACGATCGAATTGCTAGATTGTGGACCAAACGTTATGCCACATAAAAAATCCAAAATTAGGACATAATCTATTTCTTCATCATCATAAACATCATATCCTCTCCCTTTTTATTTTTTCGTCTTTCCATGTGGGTGTTTCACTACTGCGTGAATGTAGAATTTGTAACAGTGTAGATAATTCCTTTCGAGAGCAGTTACTCGAATTGTTTCGTTCCCGCAAACGTAAAGAAGTTTTTGGTTTGTACAAAGCTATATCATCACTTTATTTCCGCTTTAAATGTTAATGTAAGTAAAACAAAAAAAAGACAAAAACTAGTAGTAGTTTTTTATATTTGATCACATATCATGACAAATTCTTTGTGATATGTGAAAAATTCCATTTTCATTTTAGTTAGAATGAAATTTTGCAGCGGCAACAAAGCGCGCAATACAACACGGAACCAAACTGCGCTCTCGTTCCGCTGCCAAAATATTTGCTTTACACAGTTCTAGTAGACTTTTGGGAATTAGATTTTGTCTTTAAATTCTGGAATTGCATTTTTTTTATTTTATTTTATTTTTGAAATATTATTTTAGTCTCTAGTTAGTACTTATGTTGTCATAGCTGTAAATATTTTGTGAAAAAATTTCATAATACCCAAATACATCTCAATTTAACAAAGACAAAAGGGAAAAACAGACATGTTTTTATAATGTTCCAACAGCATAACATAGTAATTGGTATTTTTACGTACTGCACGTAAACATTCAATTGTGTTGTGTTCAGAAAGTCACGCCGTCAATACGGTCTGTAGTACTAAAGCCCGAATGTTTTCGTCCGTGCAGCCATAGACTCTTAACTCAGAGTGCATCATCGATATTGGAAATCCATAAATATGAATGCTTGTGTTCTTCTGAAGTTATACACATCATAGAGTCCACGAGTTTTATTTATTTTTTCTTTTTTGTTTTTTTCCTCTGTATGCTGAAGTTTAGTTTCTCTCAGGTAAAAGTTACATGAATCATCGTTGGCAGCAGTACACATTGATGTAGAAATTTTCTTAAAAGTTGTAATAAATGTTTGCTTTCAAGAATTTTTGTTAGTCCATTTGTAATTATAAATTTACACACGCATTGTATTGATTGATTTCTGCCATGAAGAACACTAAAAAACTTTCTTATACTCATTGTGGGGTAGATTCCTGATTGTGAGTTTGTGCCTCGCCAATGGGCCAGCCAAATGAAGTTTTCTTCATGATGTGCTTAGGTAGGATTTCCCATAAGTCCTGGCAGGATTGATGGAACAAGGCAATGCCTGACCTGAACTTTAAAGGTACCACACAGCCTACCAGGTTTAATGCCTTAGCCATCCAATTTAGAACTTTTTGTTCCCTATCACAATGACAAAACAAGTTTGTCAAGCACACATTTGGATTATATGGACTAATGAAACAAGCACAGTTCATCATAACTTTCATGTGATTGGATTGTCACTTGTCAGATGACAGTTTATTTCAAATAAAAGCAAAAAATGCAGTTGTTGTACAGTTAAGTTATCTAGAACAGATGTTTTAAGCCAACAGAATGGATAAACTCGCTATATATAGTAATGAATATCTACTCAAAAAAATAGTGTCAGTTATATATGTTGTTGTATGCAAAATACAGGCATACTCTTCTGAGATGCAAAGGGACCAAACTACTACAGTAAAACAAATGCTATACTTTCTCACCAGTGCATATAAAAGCTTAAAAAATATTTGCACAATAACAATGGCTATAAAAATGCCAAAAAAATAAAATGATTAAGGTAGACAGACTTCAAATGTCATTTTAATATATACACTAACTAGTACATCTTGACATTGATGGCTCTGGCACTTCAAATAAAATAGTATTTCTTTATGCAGTCCATTTGACACTGACAAATTTTGAAAGTTCTGTAGTTAACAATCTGCTTGAAACCTGTCAATACCTTTTCAATTAAGCTAATATATTCTAGTTCTTTTGTTGGCACTTCTCCAATGTAAACTGGCTCATCAGGAGCAGACGCCATTTTGATGAGTAACTTCCTTTATTCCTCTAATGGAGACAGGTCACAAGATGCAAGTAATTCTGCAACATCTTGGCACCCAGGTTCCAATTTCTTTAGGTGTCTTCATAATGTTTGCACTGACAAAAAACCATAAGTGCCACTGCCAAGCCCCCCAAAAAATAAAATGTATATAGTAGTAGAACCCGGCATTACCAATTGTTGTGAAACACAGTGTGCCTGATTTTGTAAAATTTATATTGATTTACATAGGAAAAGAATAAAGTGAATAAAATCTATCCATGTACTGGCAAATGCAAAAAACAAAGTGTTATTTCAATTATTAAATATTCTATCTTGCCAGAAAATAAAATGTTTTTTTTTACTTAGTACACAAAACTCATTACTTTCACTGAAAATTTTCTCATGTAAATTTGAATGCAATTCATTTACTATATGATTGTGACTAGCATTTCAGTTGTATACTATAGCAAATTCACGATGAATTTTTTTTACAAGTAAAAAAGAAGAGTTTAACATTTGTAGCCCATAGATTAAGCTGAAGGAACATATGGCAATATTTAAATCTTTTGTGTATTAATATACTATAATTCAAATCACTAGAATTTGGAGCTGGCATAAGAGAATGTTGGGTTGCTAAACCACATTTAATAAACAATTTTCAAAACTATCAAATCAATTTTTTTTTATTACAAACTGGCTAAAGTCATATTGTAAAATTTAGTGAAACATTAATCGTATACTCTTTTTGAACAGTTTTAGTTAACAATGGATGATTAGATGGCCTACTGGAAAACTAAAATTGCTCAAAAAGTTTCTCAAATGAAATCCAACCCTAAATTGCTTCCTTTCAGGGTGAAAATTTTCATGCTAAAAAAGTGCAATTTGAATCAAATTTTGCTTGTAACATGCTTTGATAGCAATTTCATTAGTAATACATTTAAAGCCCACTTGTATAATTACAAACAGAACGAGACCTCCAATGACAAATATTGTTTTACGTGATTAACCCATGAACAAACAGAATAAATTACAATTATATAATTATTGGTCAATAGCATTTATTCAAAATATAAATTATTCACTGTGTTCACAGTGAGCCCTCTAATCTGGTACAAATGGAACTAGCATGCTTGCAGATTACCAGGCCCCTTCTAATTTGCTTAGATATGCATTCTAAATGAATAAAATATTGTCCTTTGCACATCCTTTCAGTTACTCTATGAAGAAACATTACATTATTACACAAAAGGAAAAGCTTGCAAAATATATTTTGCTTTGAGCTTTGACATATCCAAGCTGAACCATTTGATTTAAGAATTTAGTAAGGGTGCACCGATTAATCGGTAAGTAATCGGCCACTTAGCCGATTAATCGGTTTCAATAATCGGCCAATTTTACATTTTGGTATTTTTGTTAGAATGTTACGTACAATGCTAGTAATAAAATCTAATAAATTTCTGTTATATATTTATTATTTATTACATGACAAACTGAATATTAAAAAAAATGTACTAATCAAATTATTCCTTTTATCGATACGTATTATAAGTATAATATAACGTATAATATAAAGTTTAAACTTTACATAAGAAAAAGTATTGAATAGGTTAAGAAGAAAAATTAAATTTTTGTGTTATAAGTTTAAAGTTTAAACATATAAAACAAATAAAAATTTAATATTTAAACTGTAAAACCCTTAAATTGTAATGCAAAAACATGAGAATTTCATCATTTTCAGGGCATAACCTATTTTTTGCCGGCTCATAAATGTTACCTCCAGTGCTGAAAATTTTTTCACTTTCAATGGAAGATGCTGGGGCACTTAAATATTTCATAGCTATTTTGCTCAAATTAGGAAAAAGTTCTTTTAAACTTTTCCACCACAAAAATAGGTCACTATGTCTTTGTTTAAAGGGTAAATATAAATATGTTTCTAATTCTTGATCGAAACGTTTGTTCGTCTCTTTCGTTTTTTTTTTTTTTTTTTTAAAAACATGCTATTCTTCATTCTTTCGTTTACCAGAAGCTAATTCATCAAATAAATCAGAAAAACTTAGAAATTCACCTCCATCTTGATCACCTCCAGAAGTAGAAGCTTCAGAATTTAATTCTTATTGAGATTTCCTCTAGCATATCCTCTTTTTGAAATTTCATTTTGAATCTAATAAAAATGACAAGCATAAAGACTTGTTTTCTATATATGCTGAAAATCTTTTTTTATTGGATTTTCTAGTTCTTCTGTTGTGGTATTAATGCCACTAAAGGAACTACTGATCTTTGCTTTTGATAAGAATAATTTCAGAGTCTCTATTGTGGGAATTATTGAAGATGAAGTGGCTTCTCGTTTGCTGGCTTTCCACAGTAATTTCTTTGAATGGTTTTACAAGTAGAACAATTTTTTCAACGAGAGACCACTGATATGGACTCAACATAGGAAGTTTATTATCTATAGTATATGTGACAAGGGCCTTTTGCTGTTCCAACATGTAGTATATAGAATTCCAGCGAGTAGGAACATCTTGAATTAATGTGTATTTTTGCAAACCTAACTTTTCTTGAAATCTTCTAATTTGATTACAGCTACAGCAGAATGATTAAAATGTGTGACAATATTTCTATTAACTGTGATTATAGTTTTCACATCTTGTTTAAAAAATATGCATTCGTTTAGTGTCAGCTGCAGTGTATGATAATGCTTCTAAGTTGCAATTCCTAATTCCAGCTACCAGATTTGCTGCAGAATCTCTTAGTACTAAGAATATCTTATCACTTGTCAACTTATACTGTTCAAGAACAATTTTTAACTGTTCACTGATTCGTGTAGCTGTGTGGGAACCTTCAAAGGAAACAATTTGCAAAACAGCTCTTTCCTGCTGAAAATCATCCTTCAACCAGTGGGCTGTTACACTTGAAAAAGGAGAATTGTTTGTATTTGCTGTCCAAATATCAGCGGTTAAAGAAATATATTTTGTTTCTGTTAAACACAGAAACACTTCAGCTTTTTAAACAATGTCGAAGTTTCCATGTGTCAACAATTAAGTGCTGAGATTTATTTTAGAAACAAAGGAAGAGATTGTTGATTTTGCGAGGATATTCGATCGTCTCTTGTTTACCTGACCCGAGGGAGATGGAAATACCAGGTGGAGAAAAATGGGTTTTTTCCACATTATAATTAACTGTATAATTAACTCCAGGATCTCACACTATTAATGCAATAAATTATTATCACTAATTGGCCGATTAATCGGTAATCGGTCATTTTGCTTATCGGTGCATCCTTAGAATTTAGTTTAACAGTCCAGTCCCTACTGGAAACTTGCTCAATTGTGCCAGATTATAGGATTCTTTGATTATTAACATTTTGTACAGCAAACTATCATCATCTTATCCAATCTAGTTGGTTCCCAAAATCTCGGTGAACAATTTTTAGAAGACTGTCCAACACTTAAGATTAGAAGATCCAGAAAACAAGTATACTTTATATCTTTAGAATACTTATTACAACTAAATGAATTTCTGTTATTAACAACTATTACTTTCTTCTACTCTCTCTACAGTAGGTCTGGCCAAACCTCCTTTAATGTGGTGATGGATGTGACTCAACATATCCAGTACAGATGCCCATAAATTCTTAGGGAGTTGCTCACCCAGATTTGATCTTCCAAGTCCTCCAGATTGATAAGCTGATCCCATTAATGACTTGGCCATCTGGCCAGCCAATGGCAATTGCTGTATTTCCATATAAAAAATGACACCTTTTAGGATAGTTCATTTTCACCAATACTATCTAGACTCAACAGAAAATATTGAAAGACAATATAAGACCAGTAACAAAACAAAAAAACGTGGTAGAAAATTGCATCTTAATATAATAGGCAAAATAAGAATGAAATATGAGACAATGAGATTTGCATGTGGACATATCCAATGGCTTTCAAATACCGATCATGACACTAATGACAGTGGAAAGAGTGCATGGATACAGTGAATGGAAGTGACCAAAAAAAAAAATATGTACATGTGTAGCGAGTGAAACATTAGAATAGGGCAGAAAAATTAAGAAAGCTGACTACAGTTAATTGGGAAAAAACTACAAAGAGTGCTATATAGTGAACTGTGTGTAAAACTTAGTGTTTAAACTTTTGTTTCACTATAATATAATGCCATAATACTGTCCAAATTTCCAAGTGACATTAGCCTCAGAGAGATGGCTGGAGTAGTTAATAACATAGTCTACGCAGAAATTCTTGATCTACAACTGAGACAATCATCACTGTTGTAGTGACTGGTGTGCCTGAAACAACTGAATGCATCTGGGTGGAAAATGACTAGTAGTTAGATATTTGCTGAGGAATAGGTTCTCACATTGGAACATACAAAAGTATGAAAACAAAACTGAAAGGTTTTCTGGAAACAAGCAAACCTATCTAGCTGTATTAAAGCCATTTCATCTATTCTGTGAGTAAGCATTTCTAAATTTTGTTGAGTTGTCACAAGAAATATCATTTCACAAGTTTGTGCAAGTAATAGTTCTACAATTCCACTAAACAAGTATTGTTTATATTTATTTGTGCATATATTATGGATAACAAAAAAATTACTACCACAAAAATTAAACTTCCTAAAATTAAAGCAAAATGACTAATATAAATAATTCTAGGCATAATTTGCATTATATAAAAAGATTAACAAGTAAATTACTTACTTGATATAATAGAAAATTCAAAACAAAATTTTAGCTGTTTTCTTAAGATAAAATGTAATATATTTAATTGTCACTAATTTTATATAAAATTATTCAAGTAAAATATGTACATTTTAATTCAGTTCTGTGGACACTTAAGGGCCTTTTTTGGAGGTAATTGGGTGGCAAAGAATGGGCCTAGCATATCTATATCAGATCACTGGACTTTGATTGTCTGTTCTCTACTACAAGGAACAAAATTAGTCTCCACTATCTCAACCATTGGCTACTTATTATCAGTATATATACAAGGCTTGTATCAAAAATAATAAAATGCCAATTCTTTTTTTACATGAAAATTCTGCAGAAGGAAAATGAGTAAAGTGTCAGTTATCTGAAACAATTTCAGATACTCAACTTCATACTTGGTAGAGAAAGAATAAAAATAAATACTTAAAAAGTATTTTCAATTTGCTACAGTACAAAAGAAAAAAAAGTTAACTTTTTGTTAATTTCTTAAAAACAATTGCTAGTCTTTCATTGCAATCTACAGCACACTGATGAAACTTTATTTTACTATATATTATTTTGAATTCAATTACGTAGTTTTTTGAAAGAAATCACTTATTTTGCTTTGTTTTATACCTAGTGTTTATAACTTAATACTGACCCTACAGAAGATTTTATGTAATGACTTTCTGGAATTAGTAAACACTAGAGTCAATTTTGGTTAGTCGACACACTAACCAAAATTGCTAAATTACTAACAAATCTAAATCTGAAACTTTTTATTTTTCGATAAAATTTACACCTTCATCAACATTATTGTTTTGGCAATTGAAACATCCCTTTGGTACTTTGTCTTGCAGTATGCAAACAGTGACATGCCACACCCTCAAATGATTATTCAAAGACCAGACAAATAGATCTCTTGAACTTTTGCTGAACACTGTGTGACCAGTCTTCTGGTATCAATCAGTGCAGACCTTTACTCCACATTTCAGAAAATTCCTCAGATACCAGAAGACTGTTCCTATGATTACCAAGGTCTGTATTTCCTGCTTTGAAATGTTTGGTCCACTTTATGACACTAATCACACAAACTTGAAGATCTATATGCTCATTGATGACAAAAGGACATTCACCACTTTAACAAAAAATTCTCTGACTGCTGACAAAATGATACATTATAGTCAGCCACTTACCATTTGATATCCCACCTAATTCAAGTTTGTCAAAAAAAAAGAAAGCAATGACTGTATAAAATAATTTAAATTATTATTTCTATGCTTTCTTGGTAATTCAAGAGTGATTATGATTCTAAATAGTTTTTGTATATGACTGATTAAAAACCAGTTTAAATAATTTTATCATAGAATAGGTTGAAATAGATTGGCTGCTATTTTCCTAATTTAAACCCATTCATTTTTGAAATGGGACACTAATCTCAGCATGTTGTAATACAGAAGTGCTATCTCCTATGTTTGAGAGTAATGGTTTGATCTACTGAATACAAGTTAAAAATATTAGAAATAATTGTCATTCATTATAACATATTACAAATAAGAATTTTATTAGTTATATTCAACTTGTTTATGATATACGAAGCAATATCCCACAGGTAATACCGAGCCAAGTTACAAACAAGTGGGACCAAGTTACAAGCAGTAGCTTGGCCCCACAGGTAGGACAAAGTTACTGCTGTTACTGCAGAGTAAGTATAAAAACATTTTTTTATTGAAGACTTTGCATGTTCAAGAAATTCTTGACAAATTACAACTTAATTCTACTAATGATATGATAGGTGACATATATATATATTTATTCAGCTTTCCAAAACCCATTGGATTAATGATGAAGATGGAAGAGGAATTTCTGTTAATCCGAGTTGAAATCAGCTTTGTGGAATTGAAGAAGCAACTTTAAGACTACATAGGAATGAGAAAAAGCAATTGGAGTTACCAAACAGGGTTGAAGGAAGTGTCAAAAAAAGAAAATTCTCACTAAATGGAAATGAGAAGACAAACAAAATTTCAGCAGCCAGATAACTACATGCATTACTTTTAACAAGGAGAGATTCCAACTTACATATGTGAATTCTTTTTATGATGAAATCATAGATCATATGTCAGAAACAAACTTTTGTTTCCCTTATAAAAATATTCTGAGAGCAACAAGAAGACAGGTTCAATGATACTAATTCAAACACAATACCAAGTAAACAGAGCTTTAAAGAAATTCTGACTTCTACATTTAGCTTACACACCAAGCTTGGTAAAAAAGATAACATAGCCAAGGATACACCATTTGTATGCATATTAAATGAATAATTTTTACAGCAAGATCTCTGAGTGTGAATGAAACTATCATTGTTCTACAGAAGGCACAGCTCAAAATAGTGCAGTTTCAACAAACACATCCACTTTGGACAGAAAAATATTGTCTAAACACAACTTTAGGCTACCTGTTCTAGTTTGAGTCTTATTATGGTGCCTTGGCAACTTATGACCCTAATCTAGCCCTGGGAAGTTCTGTTGTGATGAGAATCTCATCTCTTCTTGTTGGATCACTTAACAAATGGTTTTCAGACAATTTTTTTTACTTCATTCTCCTTTTGCACATGGATGAAGCAGTCAGCACAATTAAGGCATAGAAGTGTCCAGATAAATGATGCATAAAAAATAGGTACAGGTACTTACAATTTCCAGAAAGATGACAATATCATTATTCCAGTTAGATGAAATGACAATAATAATGCCATTCTTACAGAATTTATTCTGTTCAACATGCTGAAAAAAGGTTCAAATTCCTCAGTCTAATCTCGTCTTAAGATGTAACAAGTGAATGGGGATGCATGGATAAAGGATCAAAACAACAGTAAATATAAATGAATATTCAATGTAAGAAGTAGCGGTGACCACATTCTATATTCCATATTGATGTACAGAATTTGTGGCTACTCTATAGATTGAGTTCAGCACATAAAATAAGACCACACACTTTTAAAGTTTCAACTGATTGCTGACTACATCATAAAGCATAAAAACAGACCAGAAATGGTAGCCACAGGACAACCAATGATCAGTAGATAGTTTCAAAAAATGGAAAGTGTCACTTCATCAAATCAAATAATATACAAATTTGGTGTATGTGGTACTTAATGAAGGTACAGGAAAAATGTTACAAGTGTAAAGTTGGACTTTGTTGTGTTAAAGGTGACAAAACAGTAATCACAATGTGATAATACTTTTTAAATTTGTTTTAAAGTATTGTATATAATACTTTAAAATAAATTGTTCAATTTAGAAGCGTATAAGAACTAACTTTTTGAAATGGTTAAAGAATGGTGTATCATCCTGTTTAAAGGATGCTATGTGTAGATTGAATATTTATGCACAATAAGCAGGCACTTATGCAGATTATCTCATTTAAGGGATAAATCAATTTTGTTCCAGAAATTTCCAAAATTTTTTACAGTTTAAAACTATATAGTCATTATCATCACAAATACTACCTATTTTCAAATTTTCTTTAAAAATTAAGTCATACACAAATAGATACATGAATGATTTTGTACACAAACACTAAATAAACATTATAAAAAAATATCAAAAATCCAAACTTTTGTTACAGACTCCAATAAATATTTAAATTTTCTCAGTAATATAATTATTACTATTATGCTATAAACAGTATTTTACCCATTCATTTTTAGAAGAATAAAAAAATATAATTAAATAAAAGAAACATCTTGTTGCTGGATTTTTTAAACTTTCCTGGAAACATTTGGTGACATCATCTGTTGTTATATTTTATTAGTTAAAAACATAAAACGTTTTTATTATTATAAAATGGCAAAAAGCTTAATTTTGAGGGTACAGGTGGGTTTTATAAACATTTGTAAGTGCTAATAACTAGTAAAGTCGTCATTAAGGCTGACTCTACTGGAGATACACAATCCCCATTATTCCCTGACCTCATAACATTTAACTGCAAAAATTTAATAGCATTAATCCCCTAATAAACCTCCCTGCAAAATTTCAGAAATTTTCGACCAAAAGCACAGGTGTTATTAAGGTTCAAAGAAGGTGAACAAAACCATGCCCTACACACAGTAACATCCATACATACAGAAATTACTCCCAAATTTTTGCATTTCTTGACATTTTAAGGTCTCAAGTCCAAAAATGTAAAAATCTTGGGGGAGTCATTTTTTGACTGATTGCCATACTTTCCCTCTTATATATAACAGCCAGTAAAGTAAAAATAAAAAAAAAAAAACCTTGATGAACTATTTTATAAGATGAAAATTCCTAACATCTGCATTGTTCTATCCAAAGAAGTTCAACCTATCAACATTTTTTTCATCCAACTTCATTCTCATATAGACCAAGACTCGCCATGAAAAACTAAAATAGAATCTAGATAAGTCATGCTTCACAATGTAATCTATACAGTATGTTTCTGAGTGTTTCATTTCATGGTATCATTTTTCTAAAAATTAATGCTAAAAAATGCTAGGAGAAATGTTAAATAACAATTTATACAATAAATAAAACTCTAACAAACAGTTTAAAAATTATATTTCCATCAAAAAATAACACAAGAAAGAGTAATTTTTCTTTTACTAAACACTTTCTACGTCCGATAAAAAATTTTGTCTTTGGTGATCGTTCATATTACATTTTATAAAATAAGAAAATATTTAATATATAAACAATGATATTTAACACAACTGAATTTAAAATTAAAATAGTGTCATCACTCCCAATACTGATAGTAATAAAACACATGGATAAATCTGTATATAATTTATGCATATACATGAATAAATCAATAAGATTAATGTCTATACTTGATGCTGGGCACACAAGCATAAACATACCTTAAATAAAATAAATGCATTTATAGACATGACTAGAAGGCCAGATAGAAGTTTATAACAATTAACAATTCCGATCGTCGTCGCCGTCGTCTTTCTTTTTACCGATGGCATCGGGATTAGAGAGTGGGTCAAGGTCGGCAAATAAATTGAACCATGCTGAAATGTCTTTTTTTCCCTATATAGAGAAATTTAAGTGAAAGCTTAGTATTAACCCAGCATAATTTTTAACTATTGAAAATGTGATACCTTTTTTGATGCAGCTGTCGCTGGTTGTTTTTGTTTAGAGGTTGAAGATGTAGGTTTTGAATTAGAAGTTGTAAGGTTGTTGGATATGTCAGATTTCTGTGACTGCTGAACAGGTATCAATGCTTTTGGAAAATAAAATAAAATAAATTTATAAAACCTGTAAATTAAAAAGAAAAACCAAACTTAATTACAGATAATACCTGCAGAACTCAAGTCCATGTCTGAAAATCCTGATGTCATTTCTAATAATTGTGATGGTAAAAAATTAGGAATGTTTGGTTCAGAAGTGGTGCCAGATTTATGCATATCATCAAGTAAAGATTCTAATTCATTTTCTATTGCAGATTTTTCTGTACTAGAGGCACCAAATGCTGTTTGCCACTGATGAGCAAAACTATTTTCTAATTCATTAGAAGGAATGTTTTCTGATGAATTACTCAGAATGTTGTTAAGAAATGCTAAATCATCTTTATCATTGTTATTGGCCTGATTGTCCGTAAGTAGGTCAACATCATTTTCTGTAACCACAAATGATAATGATATTGTTGAAAATATTCTATTTCTAAATTAAAATCAAACTAAAATAAATAAAATACTATACTTGAATTTTCAGAATTACTAGGAACTCTATCATCCTTTGATTCTTTATCTAAAATTAATAGAGGAATGTCGTCATCTTTTTTCACCTTCTCTTTACCATTGGTTTTCTCTACAGGTTCTGTTTTTTCCTGACTAGAATCCTCTTTGACATCATCATGATACTCAGAGTCAAAAAATAGTAACCTAAAAAAATGCAATATAGTTAAATCAACATAATAAAGTAACATTTCATAAGCTGATAACATACATATCTCTATCTTCCTCCTCCTCTTCCGTTAGTTTTTCCTGATTAGCTGTGGCCTCAACAAGCTCTTTGCTTGGCCCTGCAAGCTCCTGAATAAATTTAACAGATTAATGTACTTGCTACATTATCTTTTATTTTATAAAATTAATAAACATACCTTTAACATACAGAATTCATAATGCTGGTAACCACGAAAACTTTTAGCTACTGTGTTCATTGTATGAGCCGTTTTCTCCCAAAATAATAGAAGTGCATTTTGATAACTAGTTAAGACATGTGAAAACATATTGCATCTAGATGCTGACAACAGATCTACTTTTTGAAGAGTATCTATTTTAAGTTTATCAAATATCTGCTTAGTGTGTCTCACATGACCCTGAACCTGAAGAAAGTATATAAACACTGTAGTCTTTGTAGATTAAATTAACTAAATTAATTAATTATTATACTTTTCTGAATCTTTCTAATTGTTTACAAGTGTCTGGATCAAGCTGGTGGGAAACATCTTTCATCCACATTAAAGCTCCTCGATATGTTGTTCTTGCCTTCTCCATTTTCTCAACAGTCTGTAATGTGTCAGTAATGGCTCGGAATTGAAAGGTATCTATTTCTTGGTATAAACGCACTAGAGGCATTCGCAAGGATAATCTATTGGAAAAACAAGATTGTAAAACAAGAAAGTTCTGAATTTGATTATTGAATATAATCAAAAATATAAATTAACCTTTGTTGTGCAGTATAACTCATAGTTTTTCCAGTTGCTGTCATCATTTTGCCAGCTTGAGTTTTATCCCATTTTCCATATTCTTTTAGAAATCTACCCATTGCATTTTCTTCTTGAGATAGAGCTGGCGTAAATTTTATAAAATATATGTATGTATTTTGCATGCATAAGTATAAAATGTATGTATTTTTTGTAATAATTATTTCTTATTGTGTTATGCATTTCCCTTACCACATAATTTATCTTGATAATTTTCCAAAACTCTCATTAAATTAAAGCATGATTCCTCAACTGCTTGAAATAACTAATTTAAAAATAAAAATAATTTTATATACAAATTTTTTAACAGAAATTAATGCCAAAAATTTTACCTCAAGCTTAGAATCAAGTTCAGAATCACTAGCAATAATACAATCATCATTTTTCTTTCCTAATCTTTTAAATATGGCTTGTTTAGTGGCCCAATATTGTTCATGCATTCTGAATAGAGTAGATGAATCGGACCCTTCTGTAAACTGGTTATAATATCTACTCGATCTGGAACTTGAAAATTTATAGCTTGTGTAACTGATATATTCTTAAGTAAGCTTTTAGAATTAAAGTAACCATTGTTATTCAATATAAGATATAAAATGAACTTACTAGTTTGACATAACTGGAGGTATATCCTGAGGAATGACTAGTTTAGTTTCAAAATAATTTATCTGAAAAAGATAAATTATTAAACTGTGTAAATGTTTAAAAAAGAAAACATATTCAAATCTTTAATGAATATATCTTTTATTGTAAATGACAGTTAATAATTTAAATTACTTTTAAAAGTTTTAAAAAAATTATCCTTTAATGATGATAAAATATATGACTAGTTTTTCAAAGTTGTCAGATAAAAAGGTTATTAAGTTACTTTAATGTTGTGTTTTCCACTTTACAACTTTAAAATGTTACTAACATATTCTGAAGATGATGATAAAATGTCTTTGAAAATGTTCAATAAATGATACTTTTATGACTTTTAGAAATAAGTGTGTTTACCTTAAGTGAAAATCCAACTTTGAGTTTGAACAGAAATTTGAATATGTCAAGTTATAAAATTTAATTTACAGTCTGTAACTACTTGCAATAATTATTTGAAAATTTTAGCTATTGATTCATTTATTTTTGTAACTTCTTTAACACTAAAAGTTTTTATTATAAAAATAACATTAATAATTGCTGAAATTTGATGATAACATTATTGATTTCATTCAAAGTATTTAAATTTATATTTAATATCATACAAATTTTTAAGATTTTTATGTAAATAAAATTTAATTATCTAATTTTAATGTTCTCATATTGAATTTTTCAGATATATATGATTTCTGATTCAGTACATTTTAAAAGTATAAATTTGGAAAATATAAATAATAAAAATAAAATAATGCATTAAAAAATTTGTAGACAATCATTTTTTAAATTATTATAAATTAATTAATTTTTAAATTTCAGTTATAAGCTAATAAATTCATTGATTCATTTTTTTATAATCCATTTATCCACTATCAAATATTTTTTTGACAAATTAAAATTTTACTAAAGGAGGTCATTTGCTGTTGATTTTGTTTTTTTACAGTATTATAGTAAAAAAAATAATACTGTAAAAATAATTTCACAGTATTATTTTCTTCTTAACACTTAAATTTGAGAATTCAAATTTCTATTTTTCAGTTTAATTTATTTTTCTAAGTAAATGCAAATTAGCTGTTCTATATGCTTTAAGTGAATGTTACACATCACAATTTTTTGTAACTGCTTAAAATTTTAATTTTGAATGTGTTCTAATTTGTATATTTTACATAGGCTGTTTTTTTTTCAAGCTCCAATGGTTCATAAAAAAAAAGAGTAAATAACAAAATGAATTTATTACCAAAAGTTAGGTACAAACATGGTAACTTTTTGACAATCATTATGAAAATTGAGGCATTTGTCATATCTGTGGATGAGCTTTTCCATTCCCTTGTCATAGAATGTTGCTGCCAATGAGATGAGGCCCTAATGTTGTTTTGAAGATCGTCATTAGTCTCGAACCTCTGCCCTCCTAGTAACTTTTTCTGGTTGGGAAAGAGGTGGAAGTTGCTATATGCTAGGTGTTTAAAGGTGGTGAAGACTTCCACCCAGCTTGGAACTTTTTAATATATGAAGACTTTCACCTCTTCCCTGAACTGAAAATGTGGCAAGCAGGGCAGAGGTTTGAGACTAATGACAATCTTCAAAACAACGTTTTTAAGGTCATCTCAATTCACTGGTGGCAACATTCTAAGGGGATGGAAAAGCTCATCCACAGATATGACAAATGCCTCAATCTTCACAGTGATTATGTCAAAAAGTAACCATGTTTGTACAGTACCTAACTTTTGGTAATAAATTCATTTTGTTGTTTACACTTATCTTTTTTATGGACCATTGGAGCTTGAAAAGAAACCACCCTCATATGTTACATTATTCTAAACTGTTAAACGTAAGATCGTAAGCTGAAGATAGTCAAATCTTGACTGAAGATATTTCTTTTAATGAAATGAATAAGTCACTGCTAGTTTAGTTATAAGCATAAATTCTGCTGAAGAGAACAGCAAAATTTATGCTTATAACTAATTACAAAAAGATTTATTTATCAACTGACAATGAATAATGTGAAACAGAAATATATACAACAACAACAACAACAACAACAACAGCAAATGATAAATAAAACAATACAGCCATATAACAAAATCTGCATTTCCTATTGATAAAATAAAATTGATTCTTATCTTGTCAAAGACGTAATTCTAGATATTTTTTGAAGGTTGCATACTGCATAATAAAGCAGAAAATACTGTAAACAAATAATTTTTCTTAGAAGAAAATCAAGATTAGAAGGTTATGGTATGGACAATGTTCTCTTTCATAATATTCAAGATATTAAAAATCTTCTCTCTCAGAATTATTATTATGAGATAATATTAGCAGTAATATAATATCTAAGCAAGGTCAAACAATATTAAACAATGGAGTATGCATATCCAGGTATCCAATTATCCAGACTGTCCTCTGACTTTGTTAATAAATAAACAGGCATGTATGTATATGTACTGTATATGCATAAAAAGTGATTTTTTTCCCTATAAATATAGAAAATAAACTATATTCATTTGAAGGTGCATTTACCCATCTAGTTTATTTGTAATGGTACATAAATACATACACTGATATTCATAAACAGTGTGTTTGAAGAGAAAAAGAAGAGACTATTTTAAGCAAAAATCCAATTATCTGGATATTCCACATATCTAGACAACCTGAGTTCCCAATTAATTCAGATAATTGGAGTTTTACTGCAGATTTCTAAGTTTAGATTTTTCAGAATCTGATCAAGTGTGAGTATAACATAAATATACTTTTATTAATATATATATAAACTGTTATGATATTTCAAACAAATATTTTTTCCTCTGTGAGCACTATTAAATACAAAATTAATCTGCTAATTCAAGTAGTTTGTAGTTTTATATGACAACTTTGATAATATAGTAAGCATATTTTCAATATAGTTTATTTTTTATAAAAATGAAATTCTTAAAAGTATATTTTTGAATCCTTCCCATATGCAGTACTTAAGATATTTATGACGACAAGTTTTTGAAAGTTTATTTTACTATTTTCTTTATTTGAATTGCATATAAATATTAACAAGTTGATTAAAAGAATGAGATTAATACAAGAAAAAAGTAGATATAACTTACCTTAGGAATTAGTTAAATTATTGGAATGTAAGATGTCACCATCTGTAAGAATAAGGAACAATCAATAGTTATAGATTAACCTTATAATAAATAATTCATTACTACAAATCATATTCAATATAAAAACTGATTTATAATACATGAAGTATGTAAGAGTAATTCATCATTAACTTCAGTGCAATCCTTAAGTAAAGATATTTGGCATGACTACAGTGTTGAATTAATATATTTGGTCTCTTAATATTATTATAATAAGATCACTTTAAGGTTTTCCTTCGTTAGATTATGATAAAAACAATATAAATATTCTTTAAAAATATTTAACTTCTCTATTAATAATATTTTATTAAACATAATAATATAATTTTCCTTGTAATTGTCAACCATATGGAAGCATTTCTTTCTACACTCAATCACACTTTATAATAATACCATTTTCAGATTGCTGTAATAAGAATGATGCTATCCAACAAAATACAAATTCTTACAAAACAATTCTTGTTTAGTAAAAAGACAATTTTAAAAAGGTAAAGAGATAAAGAGCATAATATCAAACATTAGATTAATAGCACGTAACAAATAAAATGCTGAGCTAACACTCTAGAATCTTAATCCTTTAACAAGTAAACTGATGCAAACTAGCTCTTGGTGATATACAATTAGAAACAAGAATATTTGTGAATGTTTATCAGTGTTATTTTTAAATTTGTATCTTTGAAATATTATACATCCTGTTTATTCAGACACAGGAATTATTTTCTAGCAATTAATATTCACTTACTGTATATCATATAAACTATTTTCATTTGCTCTTCTATNTTAGTAGTGTAATATGGAAATATTTTACGATAGTAAATGACGAATGTGCTATTGCTACCTATCTTTAAAATTTCATATAAGTAATGAAATTCATTAAGATAAAAGATCCGTTAAAGATCCGCTAAAAAGTAACGGATACGGATACGGATACGGATTTTTTTTTTCCCTCGGATATCCGCGGATACGGATACGGATATCCGGCACATCACTAATCATAAATAATGTTGAATGAATTAATAACAATACAAATGAAATCCTAAATTTGATTTAAGATGTATTTATGGTGTAGGATAATACATTTTATTATATATTAAATACAATTATAAAATGCATTTTCATCTTCAGTTGATCATCTTAGCATAATTCTGTAAATTAATTTAAATACAGGATGTTCCAAAAAGAATGCTACTATTTTAAATTACTGAAAATATGTTAATTATTATGCAAGAAGTATGCAACAAACACCAGTCAATAGAATAATTGTTCAAGTTTCATCTCCAGTCTATATTCAAACATTTTGTCATCTACTACTTCTAGAAAGTGCCATAAACAAAAACCGGAACTCTGCAAGAGAGTAGGTGTTTTGTGTTTTGCAGTTCAAAAAACATTCATTTTGGAAGATCCTTATTAAAGAAAAAATTTGGCTGAACATATTTTATATCATTTCAAAAGTAAACAATTTTTCCTTTATAAGCTTAAGTATATATATATATATAACTTGTCAATTTTCCCAACTATTTTGAAATAATGCATTTTGTGCAGAGTGCAGAGTTAATGATAAAATTACAAAAACTTTTTTATATTATCATATTTTTTAATATTTTTGATTACCAATAAATTACACCATAGTTAAAAAAACAATATTCACTTTACACCTGGAATGATATATGGGAGAGAAATCACACTTAACTGATGTTAAAAACATGTTTTTATTAAAAATTGCACATAATGATAAGGACAGTGTTGTGTATATGAAAAATGGGGGATTTACACAATTCTGTTGCAGCAGCTGGTTTCAGGAAGAACATTATAATGTACATTGGAGCCACATCTAGAATATTGCAAGTTTGGGTGGCAGAACATCAAAAGGATATTGCCAATAATAAACTAACAATTGAGCTTTCAAAAAGAGTATTAGAGCATGGCTACATGTCCCTTTGGACTAATACTAGATTACTGAGATGATGCAATAACAAAATAACACTATTCTTACGCGAAAATCTTTATATCACATCACTTCCCTGTAATATCCCTACCACTGATATTCTTTACTTATGGATAGAATTATTTAAGCATTTCACTTTGTAGACACTCTAAAAGATCTTCACATGGGCGTTTATTTTGTTGATAATTTCGCATGCATCACATTTTTATTAGACTGTCCCAATTTTTATTGAATATTTAGTCCCATGCATTAACTGAATTTAAAAAAGATATGTGTTTATGTTCTATTCTTATGTTTTAAAGTTTGTGTTTGATTTTTGCCTGATGTCAAAGGCTATATGTCTTTGAAAGTACTCACAATTTTTAATAAATACATGTTTTTATCATCAATTAAGTATGATTTCTCTCCCATATACACTACAGTTTAAAACATAACAAAAATTAATGCTTTCTTTATGTAATTTAAATGCTGAAAACAACATTCTTTTTATCTACCATAATATTATCAACAGTGTATTGACCATTTTTTTAGAACACAATCCATGCAGTTGGCAAAGACCTGTATATATTTTAATGGTAACTTTATCAAGTATACTAGATTTTGAGACAAACTGTTACTTGTAAATCTCGAATAAAATCTAAGAACTATGTATACAAAAAATACTTTTTATTAAAACCTTAAATGTTTACTAAATTTTTTTACAAGCAAAGATGGCAATAGGCAATGCCAAACAATAGATTCAAAATATTTGCACTCAGAAAACCATCAAAGAATCTGTCAACTGAATAAATCTGATTTAGCAACTACAATGATTTTAGAACTTTCCATGATTTTGGCAACGTACAGTTTTTAGAATACATGCAAAAGTATTCAGTAATGATACTGAAAAATTTAATTAAAAATAATAATAATAATAATATAATTTAGCTCTGATTAATAACCAGAGATAAATTATATTAGCATATAATATTTTAATACTTGATTTTTCAAAACATTTCTAAATTAAGATTTTTATAATGCTAGTTCATTACATTTATATATGAAAGATCATTTATGAATGATATGAAGGGACATCATATCACATTATAAAAGAACTATTATATGAAAGAAAAAGCCATGATAAATTCAAAAGAATTATAACTAATAATAATATAAAGAATTATAAATGCAATATTGAACAGATCTTGCATTTCATAAAAAGAAATAAAATAAAATGAAGAAACATTTTTATCTTTTTAAATCAATTTCTCAAATAAAAAGAATTAGATTAATGGTACAAGGCACTGCAATGTAAAGATGATCTGCCAAAGGGAGGACTCTTCCTTTGGTTCTCCAAAGAGAACTTACAAGAAACCAGCCCTTATTTAGTTGGTATATTTATGTGATATACCAACTAAAGACAAGAACAGACAAGACAGAAAACTCCATGTGGCCAGCCCACTGACAAGGTACAAACCAATGACTGACTATCAAACAGAAAAATGATTATTTATTCATATAAGAACAAGTTTTATTAAATGTTAAAGTGCTGCATTTGTTAAATTTTTAGTACATTATTAATACACCAGTTATGTTAATAAAGTATCTATAAAGTTTTAAACTTTTAAGATGTGAACATTGAGTAAGTTTAAACAACATTATATAATGTTTAAAATATATATAAAGAAAACAGAAAAATTTAAAATGAAATTGTTTTAAGTTTAAAAAATTATTGTAATATATAATAGAAAAAAAATTATGAATAACTGTATCCAAATTGTTATATGCCTACATAAGAAAGTTTACCATCATTTGCAAATCAATCAAAGTCTATAGTTTAACTCTTATGTATTCACAATCATGGATCAAAAATTAGAGTTAGAAGTTAACCAATAAGCATTCATATACTAAAAGTAGAGCAAATCATTAGTTAACTTCTAATTCTAAATCTTAATTCTTGGTTGTGAATATATATATCATATCATAATTAAATTCTTCCAATTGATAACTTTTTATTGACCTTAACATTTGTATTTCTTAAAATAAGAAAATAGATTACATCTTGTTATAAAAAAGATGATACTGATAATTCTTTTACATAGAAGTGAATACTTTTTGTTTTATAAATATGCTATTTTTATACTTTTCAACTACCAACACTACTCATAACACTATTGTACATACCTACCCCGAAAATTATATATATATATATTATATCCTCAACTGATCCATCTTAATATAATTAAGAAATATTACATAGCATGGCATACTGAACATTCCATTATTTTACTAATTACATACATAACATACAAAGCAGTAACATAAACAGTAGGATTTGCAATGCAACACTTCATAAACAAAAACAAATCACTCAGTTATCCTATGTTGAGATCCTAGCATTACATAATGTTTTTGTAAACACTCACCATTTCTTTATAATGAATTATAACACTTCATAACATATAACTTTCCATTATAAAAGTATTACATTATAATTTTCTACAATACATAAATATGTAGACAATGAATTACAACTGTATTTAAACAGAGCATATTATAATCAGAAAAAGTAATAAATTATACTACAGCTGTTGTTATTGTTTAAATTGACATTTCTTTGAAAAATTTATAAAAATATAAAATTATCTGTAAAATAATAATATAAACAATATGTTATTGGTATATTGCTAAAAGTCTGTGAGAATTATTCTGATTATTCTTAAGTAAGTGATATAACTGATGTATATCATTCATCTTATTGGCATTAATCATTTCTTTAAATGTTAAGCACTAATATTGGCTTATATATAATTAATTAATGAATACGATTAAGAGTTGAAAATTGTTAACATTTAACCCTTTGATAAATCCTCTTGTAAATATACAAGATATGATTGGTGGGCTGTACAAGTAAGGATGTATATATATATATATACAGTCAAGTTTGTCTCATAGCAATGCTTATGCATTTACAGGCAAACATGAAATGTTGCAGACAGCTAGGGGCATCTATTGAAAGGTCTAGAAAATTTTTTTCCATGTGGTGTTTGTAAGTTTTGTAAGATTTAGACTAGAATTTTCTTGCATAAAGACAAACATGGCATCTAGAAGTTGTTCGAACTCACTGTCTCCTCTTGAATAATTGGAGTTTTTGAAGACAATTCAATCAGAAGAAGAAAATATTTCCTAATTTATTAAAAGACAAGGTATGAATTTTTTCATTAATGTTACATTTTTAAAAAATTAACTCACCCATGGAGAAGAGGGAGACACAAGTAAACCTACTCATAAAAGAGTTAAACATTACATAAAAAAATTAATCTAATAACCATAAAAACATTTTCATTCTTAAATTATTATGGCAGTCTTATATAATTAACAAAAATCTATTGTAGTTGCTTATATAACTAAATATAAATTTAGTTTTAAATTTTTATTATTTTATCACTAAATGATAATCTATTTAAAAATGAATTAACAGTATCTAACAGATGTATTAAATATAAATTTTCTCAGGAAGAATAACTTAAAAAAAAATGTATAATAATACAACCTAAAATATAAATGTAACAATATACTTTTTCATAAATTTTTTTTTTATTAATTTTTTTCCTCCTTTAGATACGTGACTGTTTTTCCAATGCTTTTATTCAGAAATATCTTAAAAATTTAAAGTAGTCAATATGATTTTAGAATAAGTAAAAACATGAATAGATGTATGTTAGTATTAACTTACATAAAACTTTTTAATAATTATAATACGTACAGTTAATAAATTTCATACATCTTTTATAAAATTTAACTGTTTTTGAATTTTATTTGGACAAACTTCAGCTCACACTAACCCTTCTAACTTAATTAGTGAGATGGGAACACCATTTCTGCTGAAAATAACATTCAAAATGAACCTACAATACATAAGTTTTGAATGTGTAATGTTATATGCAATAAATAAATTATACATTATAGGTAAGTTTTAATTTCAAAATCTTTGGGAACACTATGTATCCTGCATTTGTTTTGAATATTACCATGAGCTGAAGTTTGTTCAAATAAAAGTACAAAAATCTTTCTCCAATAATTAAACTTTGGTTTTCCTTAAATAGTTCTATTTTCTTCTTATATGTACAAAGTAGTATTAAACCTTACACTTACAGCAATTTCTGATCTTTTATAAAATACTTTTTGAAGCAATTTCAGCATTTCATGCCTTCATTCAATCTAAAGTTTTAACACATTTAATTTATCTGATGTTGGTTTGCCATGGTTTATCTAGGTTGTTTTCAGTTCACAAAATTGTCACTTCAAATCCCGTTCTTGGGCATAGATAATAATTAATTGTAAATTTTAACAGGGATTACTGTTTCAGGAATGTTCCTAAGTCACCAGTAATTGTATGTTAAAGCAAAATGCTAAGTAATAAAACTCTGTAATGATAAATATAATTGAAGCTCATAAAAATAGAAGAAACACTATATTTTTATTGTCACTGCCAGAGGAAATTTTTAAAATGAATTTTGCATATTGAAGTGGACAGAAGCATCAAAACAGAGTTCAATTCCATCAGGAGACTTTGGTGAAGGCAACTTTTTCCTTAGATATGAAAAAGTATAGAGAAGAGATTTTCACTTTAGTTTAGTATTTCTTCTATTTATATAAACTTTAAAAAAATTCTAACTTTTTTTCAAACTGCAACATATAATCAAATCTGTACAACATGATACTTTGTTGGAATTACATTGACATGTTAAATATATTCTTAAATGCTTTTGAGCATTACTTCTCATTTTCAGGAGAATTACTTCACTAAAGAGAAAATATAACTGAAACAATTTATTCTAAACTATTCTAAACAGACAGGTATGTTTCAGTTGAAAGATAAATTATTTATACCTTACACAGATGAAATATTGCATGTTAATGTCTAAAGAGACTACGAACAATAAATTTTAATGCATTTATTTTACTACAATAGTAATGATTACATCAGTAATAAAATATTAAAACTTTTATTAGTGATTATAAATTTGTATATCATTGAATCAGTTGGCACTTACATTCTTGTTATTTATAATATCTGTCAAAATAGTTTCAAACTTTAAAACTTTTTTCTTATTTTAAAACAGTGTTATCTTTATAATAGGGCACTTCAGAATATAGCATTTTCAAATACTAAATGTATGCTATCATTTTGTAAATGAATATTTTATATAATTTCAAGAAAACTCATCAATTTCTATCATAATATTATTTGAAATTTATTAATAAATCCACGTAGTATGGGTGCTGTATAATACTGATGTATATAAAATCACTTTAATCCGATTCAGTTGATTTTTCTCACAGCCACACCCAGGCCAATTGACTCAAGACTTTATTGTAGCACATTTTTAAACAGATTATACATCATATGCATTTCGAGCTACTGTGACTTTACAGCCCCTGGTTCAGTACTATTGAAAACAAGGGTATGACTTGACAATGTTGTTATAAAGATTTTTTTTTACAATATGATTTTTTTCTATTTACTTACATGTACTAGAAATAGAAAACAACTATTTGATACCTGTTACACATTCAATGTTTTCCATATAAATACAAGTATAAAACCTTAAAAATGCATTAAAAACAACCATTACCTCTATAATACACATCAAAAACATAAAAATACTCCATATAATCCTAAAATACAATAAATAATAAATCTTACTTTATACTTATTACAATCAGTTTAAGATACTGGAATTTCGGCTTTTATACACAGGCTGCAAAGGTGATGGCAACTATAAATTGGCTTATTCGCACGGTTGGAGTACTGTATAAGTGTGATATAATTGTATAATACAATATTGGTAAAAATGGTATAATTTACTTACAATATTTATATTGTATAAGACCTATTCATATAAGTTCACAAGTATATTAAAAGTTTTTTGTAATGTTCACATAAGTACATAGACCCAAAAAAGGATTACATTACTGTTAAATGAATTTTATAATACTAATTATATTTGATGCAACGATACCCCCTCTATTATTCGGTACCATTGCAAATTGATGGTCATGCCATCTGAGATGTTAACCAGTTTATCTGTAGGATATTTTAAAATCTCTATATGTTCATTAAATTTTCTTTTATAGGTATCTTTTTCAGTATGTAGTATTTTTTATTTGGCAATTATTACTTATTGAATGTTTAAACCATGGTGAATTACTATATTTGAAGTGTATCGCTGTTTGAGGTTATTATTGCATTTTTCAAAATTTTTGAAATATAGTTGTTTTCTCTTTCTAGTACATGTAAGTAAATATAAAAAATCATATTGTAAAAATCTTTATGATAATTTATGATTATGATTATAAAAATGATTATGATAATTTAAAACATATATATCATCATCATATTCCAATACCTTATTGGTCAGAACCTTCCATCCTTTGTCTTCCCACAGCCTCTTCCAATCCTTTCATATTAATCAGGAGAAATTAATAAAACTATGGATATTTAATTCACATAATCAAGATATTTATTTTATTATGTCCATTTCCTTAAATGTATTCAAATAAATTCAAACACAAGTTTAACACATAACAAAGACAATTTTGTTACATATTAAAACAAAGATATACTAAAGTTATTACTAGAAAGCTGAATAGAAAAGACAAGCATTGTTTGATAAAGTCAAGGTATAGACAAGAAAACAAAATACAGTAAATGCTCAAGAATAATTAGGAATAAAAATAAATTTAGATCAATTGTCTTCCTTTGGAATAAAGATTGTTTCTAGGGAGAGAGAGAAAGAGAAAGATTATGTCAGCAATTTAATTTTCAATTATTTTAACTATATATAGTATTAGAAAACTATTTCTAATAATGCAATCATCATTAAATATTCATATCATATCAGATTTTTGGTTTCATTTACTGGTAATTATTATTTTATGCCAAGAATTATTTTGGACTCTATCCCATTTGTATAAAGAAATCATTACTAGATTTATGTTTAGAATTATTTCTTTCATTTAGGTTTACTTAGCTTTTATAGAATTCATATAATTCCATTAGATTTTTATTACAACTGAATTATTTTAAGCAATTCTCAACTAAACAAAAATAAAACAAGAAATAAAATCATAAAATTAAATATTTTCTTCATTTAAATGTCTTTGAAAAATTTATTAAATATACTAAAAAGATACCATATTTACTTGTGTATAAGATGAGGTTTTTATTCATTTTTCATTGCTTCAAAAACTTAGGTCATCCTATATGCACTAGCAAAAGATTCTTTGCATTTTTGCAATAATTTTTGTGAATCATGTATTTGCATTTTTTTCAGATGCTCACTGTCTGGTGTTTAAAAACAAAAGTATTTTATCTGGGTCATTTGAATCATTCTTGTGTATTGTCAGGAGTAAAGATGAATAGCAATAGGAAAAGCAAAGCTTTTGAATTGAATTCTGAACTGAAATTCCAAAATCACACGAAAGCCCAATCGGTATAAGTTTTAATCCATTTCCAAGTGAAAACATAATTATTTCAGAAATCAGAATTCAAAGAAACTTGTACGTGTGGATTTGATGGAGAGTAGATTCGATTGTTAAAAATTGGCAAAAAAGTTCCTGATTGTCCAGCTTTATATGAACAAATTATGTTGTCAATTTTACAAGATTTTTCCTAAAAGTTTAAAATGCCAGTAATTTTTGCAGGACAATGTGTGCATTTATGTGCATTTGATAATACTTTATTTGTAATTAAACAAAATAAAATTAGAATTGTATTAATAAATCTAATTTTCTTTATTTCGATCTTTAAAGTTATACCTTGTCCTATATGCGAGATTGCCTTATATGTCAGTAAATACAGTATTTTATATATGCAGTATAGGAAATTAAATTAATATTTACAAATAAAGCATTGTTTCACATTATTTTCAGTGAAGTACACTATAAAGAATCTAATGGTGCCAATATTGATATAATGTAATCTTTCAAACCAAAGTTTTGGAGAAGAAAAATTAAATTATTTCTTCATATATTTTATTGTTTCCACAAAAAAAGAAAAAACATGGAGGACAGAGATGCAAACAGTGAAGCAGAGTTGGCAAAAGAAGTGGTGTGCTACATTTATTATCAAGTTCAATATAATTGTCTCAGTTGAGTATAACTAATCATATGAAAATTTAAGAAACTATGAAATTATGATTAAATAAATTCTAAAGATATCCATTTTCTAAATACTACCTTTTTCCATTAAAAAAGATTTTATCAGCAATTTTCTAAAATTTTTAGAATTATATAAAAATGTGAAGTTTTTCTAATTTAGTTTTTCTAAATTATTAAAACCCATGCACTTTTAAACTTTGTGTGTATTCTTCCCTACTCATTATTAATCCAAAAAAATTACTGTTTTAAGGCTATCAGAAATTACACTTAATGGAAAACAATTAGAGCCAGTTAGATGGCTGAGGAAGTTGCCAGCCAACCACACCGGAAGACCTAAGAGCAAATCTGGACAGGTAAAAAAAACTACAAGAATATTTTGGGGAATGGTGTGTCCCAGATAAGTCAGGCCCTGTCCCTCCCCACCCAACTGTAGGCTATGTTTTAAGTACAAGTAACCCCTGTATAACACAATGCTTTTATAGCATGGGTTCACTCTAACGTGGTTCAGAAATTGGGTAAAACCCTCATACAACATGAAATGTAACAAAGGGTGCGTTCTTTTATACCTCCGCATAACTCCACATGAGCATTTTAATTGTTTTTGTGGCTACTTTGATTGCTCTTTCAACAAATAATCCATTTAATGGTTAAATTTTACAATTGGGACCCTTCTTTTGCCTCTAAAAGCTCATTTTAGAATTATAGATTCCTTCATCATGATACTATCGATAGTGTGGGCACCGCTATCTTTCTTTCACCATTGTTCCTAAATGCCCACAAACAGCAGCGCACTCCCATTGCAGTGTGACCGCTATTAATGAACGCACCCAAAAACTGTTACCAGTTGATGATGCTCATGCTGAGATCATCATATAGGATGAATAATCCTCTATTATTTAAGTAAATATTTTACCAAATAAGTATTTTACCTATGAAAAAAAATGAATAATAAATCCAATTTAAATAAGGATTTAACAGCATGCTTTTAATTTTTGGAACCTAATCCCCCTTTTTGCACTAGTTCTTTGTTTCGTATAACAGATTCGCATAACACGGCAATTTTTTGGAACGTAACTCCAGTGTTTAACGGGGGTTACCAGTATTTCAAATTTAAATTGTAAAAAAATGTTTTAAACATCATTCTACCTAAAAAATTTTTGTAAATTCTAAAAATAATAAAATTTTTCTTACAAATTAAAATCAGAAGAAATTTAACAAAGTTATAAACTGTGGCATCACAAACGTTTAGTCTGGTCATTTTTTTACTTTTCATTTTAACTCTTTCTGCCCTGTGGGCACTAAGAGGGCCTCTTTATGCAAGCCTGTTATGGGTTCGGCCAGGTCCACAATGGGGCTGCCGGGTGGTGAGGATGGGGCCTGACATACAGATATAGATACAGATACAGATATTTATTGATCAATATGCCATATGGCATATCCCGGTGCCACTAAGTATTACCGGGTATATACAGGAAATTACATAGTTTACACTGAAGATTTCGATAACTAATTATTAACATAAATAAAATTAATTAACGCGTGTACAATTATATATATGAGGTTATACACGCGTGCAAAACATTAATAAGTATAAATAGATAAAAATAAATTTAAAACATAAAAGTTGCTGGAANACAATGTAGTAGCTATCTTGACACATCATTCTACCTAAAAAATTTTTGTAAATTCTAAAAATAATAAAATTTTTCTCAGATTAAAAGTACAAGTAAAAAATTACTCTTTTATAACCAATTTCAAGTGATTTATACTAGTAAGCAAATGATTAACAAAAAGACATTATACTTCAACCAAAACCAAATTCTTGTTGTTTATTAGATTAAAAACTTCCAAATGCATAGCCTCATCAGTGGACAATCTGACAACAATCAACCCGTTCACTTTATACTGGTAATTCTTTCCCAGCATGCATCTACGTTCAGACCGACATTCTGGTTTATCAAATTTGCATATTCAGCAATACAAAAATGTTCTATAACCTGTCTTTTAAAACAGTTTTCTACTATACAATATTTTTACATTATTCCTATCAATTTTGCAATAATAATTACTGCAGTGCTGGTACCAAGGTGACTCCTGTCTTTTTAGATGAATTGCAGCCTTGTGTTCTTTTAGGCATGTCTCAAGCTTCCTTCCGTCTCTCCAACGTATGATTTCTCTTGTAAACAAGTACATGACAATTTGTAAACAACTCCTGCAACATCAAGTTGATTTTTTATCATGTTTTGTCCTTTGGTGTTTATAACATTAACCATATTTGACAGTTTATTTTTCTGCTTGGCCACTACACACATAGAGAACTTCTTAAAAACCAGTTTATATCGTTTATAAAGATTATATATATATAAGGAATTTTTACATAAACATTACTATTTATATGGTTTTTTTTACATTATATCTATAATTTATAAAGGAATTATACCATTTACAGATTTTACTTTTTGGATAATCATTTAATAAATACTTTTTAAATAATTGTTTGATTTCTTTATCTGTCTTCTTGTAGAGATGTTCTATTTAATATTTTCCTCAGTTCCATAATGAAGACATTTTTCTTAGTATCTGTAGGACAACATGATTTATAATTAACTGTTTTTCCTGTATTACATGACTTTTTCATACTTACGAAACTACAATTGCGTTTTCTCACGTTTCATAGTGACATCCAAAAAATTTTTCTCTTGATTTTGTTCTAATTCACTGGTAAACTTTAGGTTATTGTTCAATTTATTTGCTTAATCTTCAATTTCATAGGGTGTAATTATATGCAAGTCAAATATGATTAATATATCATCTACATAACGAGCATAAAACTCTATACCTGGAACTTGTGATATGTTTTCATCAATTGGTTTCATACAGATCTCAGTTAATTTGGGTCCTACAACTGATCCCATAGATATTCCACTTTTTGTCGGTAGAAATCTGCATAAATTTTGAAGTTATTATGTTTAAATATGAATTCTATAAGAAATAATATATATTCTAGTATTTTATATTTGCTGATAGTTTCTTTTATCATTTCCAATGTTATGGATGGATACATAGACTTTACATCAAGGCTCATAAGACAATGACTTTGTTTAATTTTACCTCTCAGCAATCCGTTAATTAATTCATCTGTATTCTTTATACTATATGCTGATCTATCAATTATCTGCAAATAATTTTTTAAATAGCATTCCAAGTTATATAAGAGTGTTTTTTTAAAGTCTACTAAAGGTATGCACGTATTATCTGGTTTATGAGTCCTAACTCTTAAATTTAAGTTTGGTTGTCT